ATGTATCATTAAAAATAAACAAATTGCTATGGGACAAATTATAATCAATCAACATTTCACTTCGCGTGGGTCAAAATAGCACCATTTATAAAACCACACTATCAATGCTTGTACAAAAATGCTCTACATGCAAAGTAATCGTTATATCTATCGTAAATCAATATTATAACTAACAAGATCAGGGACATTAGACGCTATTTAAGCATATGTAAGATGCATGTATACTTGCTAATTAGCTTGTCCTCCTGACCAAGCCGCTAAAGTTCTACTGTTCTAGGTTCACGTTAGATAAATGGATGTAGAAGGATGCTGGGCAGAAATTAGGTGATACACAAATAGTTACCGGACCCAAAGATGACCTATCTGGAATAATTTACCAAAAATCGTTACACTTTATTCTGGCGTATGTGATAAACAAAAATTACAAATAGAATTAACGTCATAAACAATTATAATAAAAAATAAAAACTATGACATTTACATGCTGTATGAATGATATAACTATAGATATACATTTATTTTTGGCTGTGGCATGTATGATGGATTGATCGATTGTTTACTGTTTAACGTCCCTCTCCAGAATATTTTACTGATATGGAGACGTCACCATTGCCGGTGAAGGGCTGCAAATTTAGGCCTATGCTCGGCACTCAGGGCCTTTGAGCAGGGGGGGATCTTTAACGTGCCACACCTGTGACACGGTGCCTCGGTTTATACGGTCTCACCCGAAGGACCGCCCCATTTAGTCGCCCTTTACGACAAGCAAGGGGGTACTGAGTACGTATTCTAACCCAGATCCTGCGGGGCGTGTCATGTATGAGTATTGTGATAATAACTAGATATAACATTTATTTTTGACAGCGTCCTGTATAAGCATTGAGATTATGACTAGATATATATATATATTTTTATTACAGCGAAATTCTTGATTTTTGTGATAATAACTAGATGTACCTTTATTTTTGACAGTGGCCTGTATGAGTATTGAAATAATAACTAGATGTACCTTTATGTTTGACAGCTACCTCTACAAGTATTGATTTGTAGATGTACCTTCATTTTTGACAGCTGTCTGAATGAGTATTAAAATAATAACTAGATATATTTTATCTTTGATAGCGTCCTGTATGAGTATTGAAATAATAACTAGATTTACTTTTATTTTTGACAGCTGCCTGTATGAGTATCCTGTCCGCCTCTATCCAGTTGTGTAAGACTGACCGAGAACTGTCCTATGACTTTATGACCTCTCACCACAAGGACAAACTTAGAATGTGTATGGACAATGTTGACCGTTCCCCCGTCCAGATCAGAGAGATTCTACAGAGGTACCACGGGGGTGACCATGCTAACAGTGGACACCCACCAACCTTCACAAACTCTGGTGACAGGGGAAATAACTGTGATAATTCTCTGTCTGCCAAGGGAAGTAACTCCCCACCCCGTCATCTCGCAAACTTATTTCGACAGGAATTTTCTGAGCAGGGAAAATCCCCTGAGAGTCCCCCACATGAAAAGTTTGCTCAGTTGCTACGGGAACAGTCGCCATTGGCAAGTGGGAGTGATGAGGACGTCCGGTCAGGGGGACATAACTCTAGACCTGTAGAGGGGGAATCTTATAAAGGGTCACGTGATGAGGGGGAGGACACAGAGGAAAGAAATATCCCGGGGAGTCCCTCCTCTGAAACCTCAGGACATTCAGCGGCATCTAGATAATCAAAGTACTGAAAGGATCCACAGCTATTTCTTAAAATTCTTAGAAAACTGGATATATTGTGTAGTGAAAAAAATGTTAATGAAATGAACTTTCTGCCATTACTCATGTTAAAGTAAGAGAATTAAAGAATTACAAAGGTTTTGTGTAAAATATGTTTTTTTCACAGGTTATTGGTAATATGAAATATCTGCGAATTACAAAAATATTGATTCTCTGTGACACTAGTGTAGATTAAGATTTGTTCAAATCATGGCTAAATATGGCGAAACATGTTGTAGTCCATCGTCTGTCCTCCGTCGTGTGTTAACATTTGAACATTTTCAACTTTTTCTCTGAAACCACTGAACCAATTTCAACCAAATTTTTTATCTATGGATAAAGGGGAATATAAATTGTGAATTTCACGGTCCCTAGGGCCTGGGAGTGGGGCCAAAACCATTAAAATTATTGCAATCTTTAAAAATCTTCTTTACCCCTGGACATCAAGCAGGCAAACTGTTAGCATGAATGTAATAAGCATTGAGTCCTCTACCAAAATTGTGAAATTCATGGCCCCGGGGTCAGGGGTTCTAGTGCTAGGGCGGGGCTATATAGATTAGGATATGGAGATAATGAACAGTATTCGATCAATCTCGAAGTCCGTTAAACAATATACAATAGGAGCAGAGATTATATCGTGAAAATACATTATTTCTTTTAAAAATCTTCTTCTCTGCTCCAGGGTATTAAACAAACTAACTAAGTACATAGTTATGATGAGCAAGAGTGCCTCTTCCAAAATTGTGAATTTTATAACCCAAGGTCAGGGGTTCTGGTGTTAGGGCGGGGCTCTATTGATTATACATGTATAGTGAAAATGCATTTATTATTTGAAAATCTTCTTCTCTGCTTCTTGGTATTAAATAAACTAACTCAGCACATAGTTATGAGGAGCAAAAGTGCCTCTTCCAAAATTGTGAATTTTATGGCCCCAGGGTCAGGGGTTCTGCTGTTAGGGCGGGTCTCTATAGATTATATAGTGAAAATAAATTAATTCTTGGAAAATCTTTTTCTTTGCTCCTGGTTTTTATACCAATCATCCAAGTATATATATTTATGATGGATGAAGGAAGGTGCATCTAGCAAAATGGTTATTTTTTATGCCCCCCCCCCCTGGATTGGGTGAGGGAGTTGCATTGTCTGAAAATAAATTAATACTTTGAAATCTGCTCTTGTGTATTAATCAACCGTTTGATGATAAAATTTGCAAAATTTTGAAATATGTGGCCCCAGGGTCAGTGGTTCCTTTGGGGTGAGGTGCAAAACTGAACTGGTTATGCAGTGGAAGTACATGCTCTCTTTGATACTATGTTTTACCTTTGGATATAAAGTAAATATAGTAAGCATGCTAAGTTTATAATTATGATGAGCAATGGTGCCTCTTTCAAAATTGTGAATTTCACGGCCTCTGGTTTAAAATACGGACCAAAGTTAATTGTTTGAAAGTTGCCACACAATACTCAGGTGACCTATAAGGCCCGTAGGTCTCTTGTTATTATATACATACCGGGGTATACATTTCTTGCAAAACTTTGATCCACAATTGTGACACTACCCTTACCCCAAATTCATAATTTGAAACACTTGAATCTACGTTATCTGAGGACACTTTCATATCGATAATTTTGTTTTACACCTTCATATTCTCATAAAAGAACTTGACCCCATTTTGGCCTACCTTCTCCTAGGGTCATGGTTTGTACAAAATCTACACCACCTTAGAACTCTTCCATATCAATATAACTTAACATTGCTATGCTGTTCTTGAGAAAAAGATCTTTGATTTTTTTTCCCTGTGTACATATGTAAAACTTTAACCCCTGCATTACAGCTCGTCCTACCCCCAAGGGTCATTATTTGAACAAACTTGAATATACACAACATAAGAAAGCTTCCATATCCATGTGACTAATCATTACTTTGCTTGAGAAGAATTTTTTTTAAAGATTCATTCCAACATATTCCTACGTTAAACTTTGATCCCAAAGTGTGATCCCACCTTATTCCTGGGGTCATCTCAAGAACAGCAAAGCCATGATTGGTTATAAATACCAGGTAATTATGTGAAAGCATACTTAGGTAGTATAGATTGAAATTAGTTCAAATCTTGACACCCTGAGGGTGGTTTTGGCTACATTAATGATCAAATTTTTGCATTGAAACTTAGTTCTGGCTAAATATTTTCACTCACATACTGGGGTAGATACCAATTTGAAAATACACCTAGAAAGTCTTCAAATTAAACCTTTAGTCAGCACGCAGGTCCTTTGAGCAGTGAGGGTGCTTTCTAGTGCCACCTCCATCCGGGGCATGGGACCTAGGTTCTTAAGGTCTTATCCCAAAAGACCCCCTATTTTGATTTCAAGATGTCATTGTGGCATTTGGAAAGTTGTTTAATTCAGATGTAAATATGTACATGTACTTAAAAACCCAAGGATCTCTGAATTTCAAATTTGAAATCACAAAATTTGCAAAAGTCTCTAATATAAAAAAATAATAGAGCTTGTTAACCTGCAATACAACCATTTTCCACAATAAATGAAAATCCACTTCGTTTGACTTCATGGACAGTTGCTATTACATTGTAGTACAAAACAGCAAAAGATCTTTTTTTTTTTTTAATTTTGCAATTTCGTATGAACAATTTCAAAAACAAATATGGTCGAAATAATGACCTTGTCAGAAAATACAAATAAGGACAGATGATACTTGTAAACATTTTTTTTCTTTGGAAGAGACTTAATTTCATGACACAAGTTTAGAAAAGTGGATAATTCTTAGAATTTTTTCTCCTAAGAACTGGAAAATGAAATAGACTTTGAAATTCATTTTTATAAAGTGGAAAATTTTGATAACCCTTGCAAAAATGACACCTTAAACTGTTCGACAAAAGCACATTTTAATTTAATATATATATATATATATTTCCTCAATGTATATTGATTAGAAAAGATACATGTATATACATGTATAACTCAGTTGTGAATGTTTTATTATTATGTTTACAACAGTTATAAATATGCATAAACAAATGGATAATTCAAAGTAATCATCACATAATAATAAAAATAGCCAGAGATGAGGATATAAGGTAACATTATCTCATGCAAATCATCATTTATATTCCTTATGTATGTTTATAGATCAGGTAACTTTTAAAAAATGTAAAACTAGAAAAATCTAATACAGTTTGACAACACAAAGATATATAATCATTCTTTAAACACATCAAAGAGAAAAGGAAAACTTTTTATAGATAAGGTGTCAAAAGGTAATTCCATTCTCTAGTAATGTAAAACGTTTAGCAATTTTTTTTACATCGATATTTCATAATTTCAACTATATAAGGCATTGCCTAATACAACATTTTTTGTTTTGATAGAGTGTTTTGAAAATTTATCTAATCAAAAATATATTTAATTAAATGAATTTAAAATATCCCTTGCAGAATTTTCAGTTATCTTTGCTATCAAAATGACAACGGAAATAACTATTGACCGCCTTTCTTAGTTCATATATTTTCTTTTTTGTAGTTTGACTGTAAAATGCTTTCCTGAAAAGCACACTTTGATGAACGATTTATATAATTAAGAATAATTAAAACTTTCATTTTTAAGAAGTATTTACCTACAGTATATTCTTTTAAGATTGAATATGTCAAACTACATAAAGTAAAAATAGATGAAGTTTTCATACAAAAATGTAACGATTTTGCAGAACATTAATTGGCAAATAATGACAATTGCACATCATCTTTTCTTTTTGTTCCCTTGTTGTAAACTACTGATCAGAAAAAAACCATTAAACATCAATACTTCACACCACATGTCATAAAAATTACAAACACAAAAAATATAACAATTCATGGA